AAGAAGTTAGGCAGATAGAGCACATAAAGATGCAAATAGAGCAGAGAGCAGAGAGCAGAGAGCAGAGAGCAGAGAGCAGAGAGCAGAGAGCAGAGAGCAGAGAGCAGAGAGCAGAGAGCAGAGAGCAGAGAGCGAGCAGAGAAGACGTTATGGGAGGATCTTCCACCCAGCCACCGCGCGGCCTTGCATAAATAACAAAAGACGAAGAGGAATGGAAGAGGTCTTGGGGCGGGATAGCTGTAGGATGGAAGGACAGGAAGGCGAAGGCGGAGGAGGATCTTATGGGTAGGGATGGGGTATAGGTAAGGGAGAGGGGAGGGGGAGTAGGGAGAGCTTGGGGAAGGCCAAACACAAATAAGTTAACATCGCTGCTTGTAAGGAATTTTTGCCGCTGAAGAGACAGCGTTTTGGAGAAAGTTGGGTATTCTTTCGCGATACTAATGGTTTTGTGTTACATTTCCCGCAAGTTTATGTTATTTATTCTCTCGTACTTCAACAGTGTTAGAGGGGGAGTTATTCTAGTAGCTGGCATCTACGCACTTCCCTCTGACTATCGCTGAAGGCATAATCGTAAAGGTATATGTCACCTGTCCATTTTGAAGGACATTGTTTTTTCCTATTAGTTCCTGTGACCAAATTACATAATTGTCGTGAAATGAATTGTGGTTTGGAAAGTACGATAGACACTCCTTAAGAATGTAGCCGTTTTCTGTGGATGCGGAGAACTTCATAGAAAGTGGGAATATGTTGTCTTGGATAATTATTTTTGTTTGCCTTTCGACGCGATGTGCACCTCTCGTAAGTATGTAAAACACATACAAGACGCACATACGGCACATACCTACATCATTACACCACCCCACAGCGGCTGACCATACTCCACATATGGTATTTTACATCACGTGATCATACTCCACATCATACCACGCCAATGTATCACGACTGATGATCATACCAAGCCATGTATCACGTGATCATACTCCAGATCATACCACGCCATGTATCACGTGATCATACTCCATATCATACCTTATATCACACGACACCACACCTCGCTATACTGGACAACATACCACACTATACCCCGCCATAACAGACCAGACACCAAAGCACACTAGTCTTACAACACATCACGCATACCATACCACACCACCCCATACCACACCACACAAACCAACCACAGTCTTACACATCACGCACACCACACTACAACCCCACCACACCACGCCACACCACACTAACAAACAAACAAACAAACACACACCTCTCTCCGCACCTTTTCACTCATAATGCCGGTCGAAATAGTTGAAGATGATGGTCAAGTTTTTATGCGCTGATCAACATAGGCCAAAGGTTTCTTAGAAAGTCATTCACCTTATTTTAAGAACTTTGGGCTATTCCAGAACACAGACACGACGGCAGAGAAAACGAGCTAGAGAGAAGAGAAAGAGAGGGAGAAGGAGGAGAAGTAGGAAGGGAGAGAGGGTGAGTGACAAAGATAAAGAGAGTGAGAGAGAAAGAAAAAAAGGAAAAGCATGAAAAATAGAAAAAGAGGAAGAAACAAAAACAAAAAAAAAATGAGTAGGAGAAGCAGAGACAGAAAGAAAAAGGAAAGATGGAAAGAGAAGAAAAGGAAGAGAAGAAAGAAAGACGGAAAAGGACAGGTAGAGGTGGAAGAGAGGGGAGAGAGAGGAGAGGGAGAGAGAGAATGAGTAAAGAGAGCGAGAGAGCGAGAGATGATAGATAGAATAGATAGATAGATAGATAGATAGATAGAGAGAGAGAGAGAGAGAGAGAGAGAGAGAGAGAGAGAGAGAGAGAGAGAGAGAGAGAGAGAGAGAGAGAGAGAGAGAGAAGAGAGAGAGACGAGAGAGAGAGAGAGAGAGAGAGAGAGAGAGAGAGAGCAAAGAGAGAGAGAGAGAGAGAGAGAGAGAGAGAGAGAGAGAGAGAGAGAAGAGAGAGAGACAGAGAGAGACAGAGAAGAGAGACAGAGAGAGAGAGAGAGAAGTGAGAGAATGAGACAGAGAGTTGAGAGCGAGAGACGAGAGACAGAGCGAGTCCTCGCGAGAGAAATCGAAAAGCGGGACCGAAAATCGAGGTCGAGAAAACGAGAACGCAGAAACGAGACCGAGAGAACGAGAACGAGGACGAAAAACAAGGAGAAGATCGAGAGAAACAAAAAAACACAAAACAAAACAAAACATAACACAAAACAAAGAGCTCCCACGTGTCCGTATGTGTGTACGTAAAAGGGAAGCTCTGTACGTCGTTCGCGAGCTTCAGTCCGCGCAGGCTACAGCTGGGCGGGGCTGTCCTGTGTGAGACCGTATGGGTGTTATTTCCGCGTTTTTTGTATGTTTCATTATGTACGGACACGCTAATGAATACATATGTGGTTTGGTTGTGTGTGTGTGTGTGTGTGTGTGTGTGTGTGTGTGTGTGTGTGGGTGTGGGTGTGGGTGTGTGTGTGTGTGTGTGTGTGTGTGTGTGTGTGTGTGTGTGTGTGTGTGTGTGGTGTGTGTGTGTGTGTGTGCGTTGTGTGTAAAGAATGATAATGTTGGTAGTAGTAGTAGTAGTGATGGTAATAACGGTAAAGATTATGAAAGTAACAATGATAATAATGTTGATAATGATAGTGATTATGATAATGGTGATAATAATGATATTGATAAAAATTATTATATTTATGATTATAAGGGAAATGATATAGGTAAAAATTATAATGATAATGATAATGGTATTAGGAAATGATGATGATGATGATAATGAAGAGGATAATTATAATGATTATGGAAGTAGTGATTGAGACGATGATGGGGATGGTGATAATGATATTGATGAGGATGAATGATTCATATGATAATGGTTACGACAATAATGATATCAGTAATGATGAAGTAACAAAGTAATAATGATAATGATGATAATGATAATAATATTGATGGTAATAATTGTAATAATATTGATGATAACAATAATGATAATAATGATAATAGTAATGATAAAAATAATAATTACAATGCTGAAAATGATGATATAAGATAGCAAC